ATTACATTAAAAATTACAAAGAGAACAAGATTAAATAAAATTATGGATACAAAAATTTTATTTATATATTAAAGTTGAAAGTAAATGCCATTTATCAATGCTATCATTAAAAATACTTAAAGTGAAATTTTCAAATTTAAAACATTGTTTTACTTAATTTGATTCTTACTTGAAATATAAAGATAGTCTATTTTTATTTTTAAATGTCATTTATAGCTTAATGTGCAAATATTACTTCAAAATTAAACTATAGAGAAAAGTTACCTTTCTTGGCGTCTCCCTGCTGAAGTAACTGTAGGCTGAGTACTTCAAGTGGCACTTATCACCAGTCGTGTGGTTGGTGATGTCCATTTCACCATAGTTGTCTACCCACAATCGACCAACAATGATATTGTGCACAGTTGTAGTAACTTTCCGCCATGTGTAATGATTACCTGACTTTGTAAATTCTAAGTGGCTAATACCTAAATTGAAAAATGGTTGAATATTGAAACAGAAAATACAAAGTTGTCAACTAAATTCATGATAATTTTTATATTTTTATTAAACAGAATTTAATAATTAAAAAGTCAATTTATGTTACAAATAAATATTGTAATATCTCTGCCTGAATTTCAGAGATAGGGAGTTATTATTTACATTTGGGCTAGTATTCTCATCTTTGTTGTTCTTACGACAATATTTTGGATGTTGTACTCTCCAGCTTCTCCAGGTGTCTCATTGTGAGTAGCTTTTAGGAAACTGCAAAATGTAACTATTTAATTCCTGGGGTTAGATTGCTCTTGTTCTTCATGTTTATGCATATGGATATCTCATCTTTTTTCTTTTTTCTTTCTTTTAAGAACAGCGCGATTATTGCTATTCCCATTTCCACGATCTGTACAACACAGACCAGGGAAGAAATTCACAATAACTATCCTGCAAACACAACATCAGCAGACAGACAAAAGAAGGGTTGAAGAGGAAGATTGGAAAACTTCCATGGTTTGTTGCTTTTATACCAAGGACACATTAGAAAATGATTCAGATTTGCTGTTCATACAACATCAGGGCAAAATTCAGAAGCAGCTTAAACTTATTGCTGAGTCAAGTCTAACAGAGAAACCTGATTAAGAACTGTGTGTATTCTATTACCTTTGCAATTGTGGCAAAGAATACAAAGGTGCAACCAGCTGACTCCTAAAAATAAGGATAGAAGAAAGTTTAGAGATTAGACAATGAAATCAGGCATAGCTGATCACTTATGGAGAGAAAAGGTTCCACCAAACCCTGTGGAATGAAGTAAAATTACTAGACAGAACAATTGAAAGAACCAATGCATAAGCTAAGTTATGGCGGTCTCCTCAGTAAGCCCAGCATAGATATAAATAGTATATGAGAGCCCTTAATAAAGAAAGAAATAATAGTAGACAGAGCCAAACTTGACAGCAAGGCTTCAACAGTGTTAAGAGTCAAACAGCAGCTGCAGATGAGGCAATAAGAACATTAAGTTTAATGTTCCAAGTTCTAAACTCAGGATCGTCCCATGAGTCAAAAGCATAGAGGATTAAAGCATTGATTTGAGAATTTGCTGGTTCAATCCCTGGACTGGCTAGTACAAAACACTCAGTGTAAACAAGATTAGCAATAATTGAACAGTACTAAAGAGAAAGTGTCCTTGAATTATGATCAAAGCATCTTACATTAAGGCTACCTTGTTGCATAAAAGTAATGCTTATAACAAAAACAAATTATCATGAAACATTTTATACTTAATATTGAATTAAAGAAAAATGCTTATTTTAAACAAATACTTATTGTTTTGTATAATTTAAAAAAAAAAATACATTTTTTTTTAAGTGAAAGATGCAAGAATTTTGATTGAATATTTAAAAATTAAATATTAGTTAGTCTAAAAGTTCCAGCTGTTGCTTTTAGATGACATTAGGAGGATTCAGTTTTAACTAACTTAATTCAAAGAATTATTTTTGAAAAATTGCCAATGATTCTAATATGAATAAGAAATAATTTCAGCACTTTCATTTTTATTTTAATATAGATAAAACTCAAAAGGCAAAAGAACGATTTGTGCAGTAGATGGATTAGCTTTTGATACCATTAATAGTAATTCAGTTTACTTGCTTCGTGATCTACATTTCACACTATTATAAAGTGTCTTTTCAATGCCATCAAAATTGTTTTTCAAAACAGGAATATTTTACAGTTTAATAATTAAACATGATTACATAATCCAATAGATCTTTTTCTCTCTATTTTATGTGAAAACTGAAAATCTATGACCAATATAACAACTAAATATTATAAACTAATATAACAAAGTTGGGGTAAATGATTTTCATTGCTTTGATTTTAATAGATTTAGATATTTTGAGCATTTTTGCTCACATTGTATGATATTTATTCATGCATAATGTTTTGTTTACTCTCAACTTAAAAGTCTACTTGATCATGAAATATCATCCACTGAAAAATCTCCAGCAACTTTACAAGCACTTTTTAACAAATCTACTGCACAAATCATCTACTACCCAGAATTTGTCAATAGAAAAGGTATATTTCATCTGAGTAATATCAAACTGTATTTCTTTAGAGATCAGGTTGCCTTATAAAGTTTTCATTCATCTACTTATATACTGACCTTTGAATTACCATTTATTCTTATCTTTATAAGATTTTCGCTGGAATACTACTAAAAAGGTGCTTTGAGCAGTTCTTAAGAAAACAAAGAGGTTTGGAATTATTAAGTTTCTTAAAAGATAGATGATAATGGGACAAAATATATTTTTCAATGAAGTTAATATCAAAAATTAAATTTTTTGTTTTTAATTTAGATGGATTAACTTTTTGGTGAATTCAATAGAACCTATTATTAAAAAGTTTTCCTCATAAGGAATAGAAATTAGCAGAAAGTGCTTTTACTTACCCATTGGAATAATCTGTAAATACTTTCCACGGAACTTACTCATCATTGTGAACTCCTGCCACAAACGCCAGCCCCTGCCCTCTGTGTATTGAGCACACATTGGGGGGTGGTGGCTAACCTATACATATAAACATTAGCATTTCATATTAAAAGAACATTTAAGAAAATGATTTATTCCAAGTATTACATATTTTAACAAATACTGATGCAGTTCTTGATCAGCTCTTCACTTAAGAAAATATTTTAAATTCATATCATGAATTTATTTGTAAACATTAAAATATATATTTAAAAAGATAGCTAGTTAGTGCAATAAGTACTGTAGCAGAAATGTGATATTAATACTTAAAAGTTTATGGTAACATCTTCAAAACAATAGTCTATATAATAATTTTTATATATCATGGTTGTTATCAATTATAGTAATTACTGATCTAATTAGTATATCTAATGATTTGCTAACTAGAGAAAAGACAGCTTGTATTATCACAGATCAAGGTATTCATACTTTAAGTTAACATTACATACAGACTAAATGTCATGGTAACAGATATTCTTGTTTTTATATTAATAGGAAGATGAAAATGCAAACTCATTTGAAAGTTAGATCAAAAGTTAAATTATAGCCTTTGACAAATACTACATTAAAAAAAATTTAAAGATTTAAAATAAAAAGATTTTTCTTCCTTTCTTGTTTGGTATTATTTGGTTTGTTAATCCATCTGAGCAGGATTAAGGATGATTCTAAAATGTATCATTAATGACCAATAATGTAAAACCTAATTTGTATATATAATATACAAACTATAGAAGAGTCCTATTTTAAATTCAGTCATACATTTTGAAAAATTACTAAGTGTGAAACAGTATTGTAAATAGGTAAATAAAACAAAAATGTAATATTTTTTTATGTATGTATGTATGTGTGGGGATGTAGAAATACCTGTGTTGGTTTAGGTGCATTTTAATCCAATTAGGAGCAATGGACCACTCAGCCTTTATTAGAGTATCTGTTGAACAGAAGGAAAAAGGTGTATATAACCCCAACCTTCAGTGCAACTAAATATCTTGTTCCTGCTAGTCTCTGGAAGATTGGATACTGTTGGTGTGTGTCATTACAGTGTTGTGCAAGCTGTATTCAACTAATTTGGCACAAGCATTGCCAACAATTAAGATAGCGGTTGCTTTTTGGGTTTTTTTTTTTATACATCCAATGGTATTGGCAAAGTAGTCACACACAGGACTGACAATCTGAAAGTATGCAGCTGCTGATCTAAACATTATTGGTTTTTATTAGTTATAAATCATCTGTTAATCTAGTGAGGCAGAGATGGTATTCAGTTGCTCCAAAAGTGACTGAATAACCCCTTTTAAAGAAAGCTCTACTCACCAGTAATCCTGGAAGGTTCTAGAAAAGGTGACCTAAAAATTACTTGTCTCTTTCAATCAGTCTGATCAGCATTTAATGCATTCAATATTGTATGAAATCAAAGAAACTTAATGGAATGTATACACTCTTATTGAAAAGCCAGAGAGCTCATCACCAGTATGGAGAACTGCTATGATGTGCAAAGAACTTGATAGATACAGTGTCAATATTGTTGCTCAGTTTAAGAGGTGTCATGCCAATGATGGTCAGATGCAAAAACTTGGTAGTGGATATACTGCCTTTTTGGAAAGGTAGGACATCAGAGGAACAAAAAAACAAAAAATGGTATTAATTTTGACATCCAATATTGTCTCAAAGTTCATAAACTGTCTTTTGGAATTATTGATAGACTCCTGATGCTTCACCTGTATATGTAAAGAAACAGGGACATCACTATCATCATTGCCTACACTCCAACATTAGTGGGTGATGCTGAAGAAAAACAATGCTTCTGTAACACTTCAAAATGTGTTCCAGTCCATTTCTAAAGGAGACAAAATTATTCTACATGGACACTTTAATGATAAATTGGGTAGACTGGCATACATGGAATTGACTGGGTGGGGAAAAGAACATTCTACTCTTGTTGCAGCTCTGCACAGTGTTTAATCTTTTTATATCTAACATTAGGTTCCAGCACAATATAGATGTATGCCAGAACTCGATTATATTATTTGTACAGCAACAAGACAGGCAAGATGTCTGCAGTGTCTGTTCTCTTCAAGGTGCAGATTGCTTGGCTGATCATAGTCTTGTAGGAGCCAGAATGCAAATGGTTATTAAGCTGGCTGCTCGTTCTCACACAACAATCAAGCTTCCAAAGCAACTTGAGGTTCAGGAAGATCTGTCTGACCAAATGAATGCATTAATTTACATATCATTGTGGGATACTACAAAGGGTGAGCCCTATAAAACTGCCAAAGAGACTGTTTCTGTCAAGAAACAGGATCGGTTTGATGAGAATGACCAGGCAATACATGCTATGGTAGGTGAAAAAAAACTATGATGCAGAAAGAACTACTGAAAAATCAAGAATGGCAATTTAGTGAGGCATTGAAATGAGCCAAGTCTAACACTTTATGTACACTGCACTCAATGCCAATTACCTAATGGTCTAACCTTGCAGCAGAAATCTCTAGCTTAATGAAATCAGCATTCATCCTGAAAACATACCAGAATCACTCCTTTTAGATCAAAAGATGGCAATGAAGTTCATACTACAATGGACAAAATCTCCAACAGGTGCAAAGAATATTTTTAAACAAGAAATCCAAACATGACTCTGCAGCTCTTAAAAGAGAAAGATCCATTGTTGAATGGCTACAATGGAAGAGATTCAGATATCCATCTACAAACTAAACCTAGGAAAGACAGCTGGAAAAACAAGCTTCTTTGAGATTTTCTATTATAGAAGTTGTACTGTCATCAAATGTGAGAAAACAATTAGGACTAGTAAAATGTCATCATGATTGCACTATACAAAGGTCAAGGGACAAGTTAAAGTAAATTGTATGAGAATTCCAGAGACATTATTCTTTTGTCATAATCTGGAAAGATATTGGTAAACATACTTCTCTCAACTCAATGCTAAAATCATGAATGCAATTAGTTTCCATTAGAGGTACAATGGACATCATTTTTATATCATACCAAATAAAAAAAAGTGCTATGAACAGTGGCAGGGCCTGTGCCAGATCTTCCTTGTTTCGACAAAGACCTTTGAAATGTTAACAGAGAGGCACTGTTGCTTCCAAGACTTTGTGAATAACTGGGTTAAAACTAAGAGAGCAGCCAGAAAATGTGATAATATCAATCTAGATGTCAGAGTTTGTCTTTCCAAGAGTGTGAGTCTGAAACACTAGCCTAATCAGCCCTAGGTGTAACCATGCTGACAGTCCATTAATCAATAATAAGGCATTTTTTGACAACAATCAGCCAATATCAAAAGAGTGCTGAAAAGTCTGTAAATGTCAATTTTACCTAATAAGTCACTTGAAGGTTCACTAGGCCCCTGCAAAGGCCATAAAGAAATGACTCAGCCAGAAGACCTTGTTTGCCAGGTCTTTGGAAAAGTATAATTTACTTACTGGTTTCATGAATGACAATAACAAATGTTTAAAAGCCTGATTGTCATACTTATTTAGCAAGTAGACAGCCATTTAGTGTGTGTGTATAGATATATATTTTCAAATGTTATTAAAATAATTCTAAATTCAGAAATAGATCAATAACTTCTTTGTATCTTACTTGTTCTGCAAGTGCTCTCCATCCCAAGTCATCTGTACGGTCACATTCATAAGTCTCTCCTAACAGGGGATTGAATGGTTTGCTGGTACGGTTGGTAGTGGTAGAGTAGGAAGAGATGGTGAAAGCAGCCACATACACCATCTGTTCAGCAGATAATTCACAGCGTGCTGCCTGGTCAAGGCACTCCGAGTATTCAAACTCCTCAGTAAGTCGTTGTAACATTGAAAGGGGTTCATTGAAGTTCACCTGCAAGTAAATTTGTAAAAAAAAAAAAAAAAAAAAAACTTACATATTTACTAAATTTTATGATAATTGGAAAATAGTAACAAAATAAATATATGAAATAAAAATGTTATTCTTAAATTAATATTACCATAATAGAAACAATACATAGAATCTAAGGAATTAGTTTTAAAGCTGCAAAGATGTGGGGAGTAGTTTTTTTTTTTTAATAAATCAGTAAGAACTTTGAAATAAAGAATTTTTAAATGTTCAAATCAATGAGAAATACTTCTTATAAATTTTAAGATCTTTTTAGATTTAGTTTCATTAGATTATATACTAAGATTTTTAAATTAAAAATGTATAACTTTAGAAGCTACAGTTTTTTAATGGTTTTTGTTTTTTCAGACTTACAATTATGAGACCCGATGACAGGCAACATTGCTAAATTTTTCCAAGTAAAACACACAATACTATAAGATTATCAAAATTTAATTTTTTAAAAAGATTAAATATTAAAATCATAAATGATCAATATAATTTTCTCGTAATTGTCAGTGTTAAATTTTTATCAGTTTCAAGGTTCAAGCAAACATGAAAAATTATTGATGGTTAAGTCATATGATCAATGATGGTTAATTAGAAAACTAAAATAAAACACATACAGGCATAGGTATTTTAGAAAGCTCCTTGCCAATGCAATTTTTCATAATGCTCCAAAGATTTAGGCTGTAGTTTGGCCGCTCCAATATGGCTTTTCGACGCACTCTTGGGCACTGCCCAATAACACCCCCAACTGCACCTTCACTGATGGAACTTTGCCTATTCTTATCTTGACTGGCATTCCTCCGATGAGGATATTTAGCACCTTCTTTCTGGATAAAAGAAAGCAAACAAAAATTGAATCCTACAAAGTCTATTTGACCATGGAAAATAAAACATTTAACAAAATCTGACATAAATGATCAGGAAATGATCATGTAAAATTAATGTTTGAATGGTCCAAACATGAATTTCAATATTTGAAAAAACTTGTTTTCATACTAAAATTTTATAGAGCATTACAACTATAATTTAAATCTAAAAGGTAGTAAAACAAAAGTAAAAAAATAAAAAGGATTTTTAGGTCATTGTTACAGCACATATATCACTATTTAAAAATTAACAGTGACAAACCTAATCTAAATGAAATTTGATATATTACCTAATAAAAATTGACAAATTTTGACTGTTACAATTTAAAAGTTAGCAAAAGTACTAAAGATATATAGATTTATATGTGAATAAAATTATTACTGAATTTATGAATAATAAAGTTAATGTTTTATTGAAGAGAAAAAACTGTGGCTGGGGAAAATATTTTGTGCATTTTTGTGTAAACTACAATTAATTATTAAAATATGCACAGATTCTATAAAGGCTTAGATATAAGAAACCACAAGCAAATATAATTAAATTACCTGGTTTCAAAATAAAGAAATTTTCTGCAAGGAAAAGTAAAAAAACAAAACACTACTCTAAGTCAATTTTATTTTTAAACAAATATATAATAATTGGATAAGGTTCTATCAATACTAGATATTATTTTGCACTCAATGCCCATATTTTAGTAATGTAAGTATTTATAAGCTGGTATTCTATACTTACTAACCAAAGATGAAACTGGGCATTTAATAAAACAACTGTTGGTAAGATATTTTTTCAATATAGACTGAATTAAAATATTGATGAGCTATAGCTCAATGTAGACAGGTTGCACTGATAACAAAGCTTACTTACTGAAGTCTTCTTTGGAGAGGACTCTGACTTTGCACAAACAACTCTGGCCTCTTTTGTGTTGTCTTCACCATCAGATTCTGAAGAGCTTTGAGCCTCCAGGCCTGGTTCCAGACTATCAATGCTTACACCACTTCCTGTTCTCCTGTAACATAATACAACAACCAATAAAAAGTTAACAATGGAAAATTAAAGCTTTATTATGATTTTTGATAAGCTAAAATAATTGATAAGCAAGTATAAATGATCCTTAATTCACATTATATAGAGAAAAGGTTTTACTGTTAATTGCTTTTTAGTTACTTTTAGTTTTTGTACAAGAGATTTATTCAACGATTTCATTTTTGGGATTAACACTTTATAGAGACTGGCATATTTTAATGAAGTTTTCCCTCGAATAGCAATTTCTTTAATCAAAATATTTACAGATTTTATCTCCATTGAACTATTTTACATTAACAATAATTTGCTCTTAATCATAAACCTTAATGCAGCCACAAAATTATAGTACTATAGCTGAACTAGTAATCAGTGTTAAATGAATTCTTTTTAAAGTATTTTATAGCACAAAAGTTGTTTAAGAAATAAATTATATATTTAGAGAGACTAAAATAAATGAGCAAGCATCACCAACCTGTGAGTTTTATCATAAGGTAGTGCTACACTGAACTCTTCTATCTGATGTTCAACTGCCTCAAAAAATTCGTCTTCATCAGAAGAATGGGGAACTGAAAAATGAAAAGAAAATAACCATTTAAACCAAACATTAAAAAACATTTTCATACAAATATTGAAAATGGAATCCTTATAAAATTTTCTAGTTAATGAAATACATATTTAATTTTAACACCATAAATTCCATAGAAATGAGAACTATTTTTCTAAACATGTACAAAAACAGATTTGTATAAGATGTTAATTCTTAATCTTTGGGTCTATTTAATGCTATTGGATTTTACAAAATGTTTAATTGCTCAGTTTCTGAAAGGTGAATTTTATGAAAAAGATAATTTACAGAAATCATGAAGCTGCTTTCATGCAGCAAAAATGTGACATTAAATATTTAGTAAAAAAGCATAATAATAACCTATTCAATAAAAGATATATTTATATTATGGTTGTATCAAGATATCTTAGTCTGGACTCTTTCTTATTACCAATAAGTATAAAGTAACAAGAGTCTTGTCTTATGTTCTTTTAAAACACAAACCTGTATCATTCTCCATGATAGGTGAATTGACAGCATGCAAGGACTTTCGAGCTTGCTTCTCAAGTGATGCCTGCTGCTTGGCCAGCTGCTCCACCATCTCCTCAAGCTTCAGCCGTTGTTCATGTTCATTTTGCAGCAGCTTCTGCCATCGTTTACCAAGATTTTGGGCAAGCTTCAAGTACTGGGAACAAGCCTTCAATTGTAAGAGAACATTTAATAATCAATTACAGTCAGTGGAAATTATATATATGTATATACAATTGTGATGAATTTTCAAATTAATTACTAAAATATACCAATAAAAATGAATATCACAAAAAATGTTTTATTAAACTTTGGAATATGATTGTTTTAAAGATTTTTTTTAAATGATGAGGTGGGAAGATTTGTTTGCTAGCATTTATAATAATGAAAATGCTTAATTCATAAAATATTTAAAACTTGTCCTTTGTAGTGTTTCTGACAAACTGATTATATCCTATAACTAATAGGAAGAATTTGTTTCTTCTAAAGGAGAAAAAATTGTTTAATATTGGGTAGATCAAACATTTTATATATTAATATTTCTTTGTGCTATAATCCTTCTAGGAAATGGGCTTCTCTCCTTTAACAGGTACAAAAAACTTTGTAGTGTAAAATACAACCAAATATGATTGTGGAAGAAAAAACAAACTGATTTGTTTTAATGTATTGTTCATAGTTGTATATTTTCATTGTGTTCTTAATAACCTCAATTGTCCTTGCAATGAAGTAATCATCATCAATCTCATGACTGGGTGTAGTTGTAGGACAGTTGCACAGCTGAACATCTGACCAATTTCCTTTACATACCTGGATTGAAAACTAGATAGATATTCATTCATGTAATTCATGCATAGTGTGCCTTAGGCAAGTGAACTTGATGGAGACTCTCACTCTCTCTCAAACCACAACTGATATTTTCAAACTTGAAGTCACACTTTGATTACAGACACATGGCTGTTGCTTCCATTGGGGAACCCTATGCCCAATGAGGTTGTGTAATCATTGCACTAACTGCATAAATAGCTATGGAGCCCAAGCTGCTCGATTGTCCTGGATAGCTGTTGACCTTAAAAGGATTCATCTCCCATTTGATAGGTCTTGCTTTTAATCTAGCTGGGTGTCTAGCCACTTCTCACCAGACTTTTCTGGTGACAGAACTGGTTTAGTTGCCATTCATTCGATCATGTGGCAGATAGTACTCTGTTACATGGTGATCTAATACACACTTTATATATTTTACAGTTTCACATGCACACACACACAAAAGTATTCATAATGTTTCCAGTATGAATACTCTGTGTGTGTGTGTGTGTGTGTGATTTGGTTATGAAATAATTTGAAAGATATATTCATAGAAAAATATTTAATTATTAACATATTGTAGAAAACAGGAAATTGTATGCCAACACAAGTCTCTGCAAATGTAGCATTTAAGCCTTAAGGGGATCATCTAATAAATAATCAGAATATTTATTTGAATATTAATCAAAAAAGAATTTATCAATCTATGAGTAATTCAGGCAAGTGTCTTAATCTTTAACTTTTAAGCTCACATAAATATTTTATATTGATAATAATTTATAAGTAGTAAGAGTTCACCTCCATAAAAAGGTTGTAGACATTGATACAAGCAATTCCTACAATACATATGTTAAAAAATTTATTTAATTTTTATCATGAGGAGGGGCCAGTGAAGAATATGTTGCCTTGGCAAACTTATAACATTTAACATAGATCAATCATATAAATTGAATTAAATTTAATTTATATGAAGAAAGAGATGCATTTCTCTGTGGCTAATTAGCCAACCCAGTCTCTTTGTAAAACAAAATAAAATTAGACAAAAAACAAACTGATAATAGAAAGCGAAAGTAAATTTACCCCACCCAACGCCGGTTAGATGATTATAATGATGCTTATATTTGTCTGCAGCAATTATTGATTTGCTCAATTTAACAAACTGGGCTGGTCACCAAGACCACAAAGTTGCAGCATAAAGGCTTTTAAAGTATTTGAACTCAAGAAATGCAACATGTAGATGAAAATATTTGTAAATTTAGATACGAAAACATTTTGATCATCAACAAATACCAATCTTTTTTCTATTGAAACATATTCCAGAGGAGAATTATTTTCTGGCCTTTAAGCGATAGGAATAAAGACATTTGTGAAAAAGCATAGCATACATTTTTATTTCAAGGGTAATTTGTGTCTCGGTCATCTAAGTATAATCTACAGGACATAAAGCTAGAGACGTAAATATAGTGAGAAGAAAAAGAAAAGAGAAAAAAAAAAAAAAAGGAAGAGAGGATTAAAGAATAATAATAAGATGCAATTGGATTACTTTAGGTTCATTTGTCTTTGAATAATAAAAACAAAGTGACAGTTTTGAAGCAAGATATTTAACACTAGACAACAGAATTGTTAAAACAATTAGACTTTCAAGTTTCAATGAATACAATACGTGCTAAAAGCAGTCAACAGGTATTTATTAATTTATTTTACCTCAACGCCTATTTTCAGCTACTACTACCACTGCGGCATTTTGTATGGACGAATTTGAAACAAATATATACACGTATCTTTAGAGCATGCAGTAGAAAAAACATTGAGAAATGTTCATATTGTTTGTTGTTTGTATGACGAAAGCTTAACATTTCACTCAATGAAGAAGACCCAATGTCAAAGTGTCTTCAGAATAAATGTAAAAATAGCGTAAAAACGAATTATTTCCCTTGAAAATCGGTTTGAAGAGAACAAATGTACAAATGAAATATAATAGCCATTTCTAAAAAATATAGATTCATTTACCTTTTCGTTTATTTTAAATATGTAACAAAAAAATCTTTGTGTTTTTAAGTCATTGATTGATTCAACGTCTTATAAATTCGAATTTTTTATAATAAAAACGACAACGTGTGTAGTGTATCATTAAAAAAATTACAATACATGCATCGGAACTATGAATGTAAAATTGTGGTGTACACGTGTGTATAGAAGTTGTATTCAATGCATAGATGAGCATACAGATATATTTTAAGTTCTAGTTTTGTGTATGTAGACGTCATTCAGCCACAAACAAAAAACAAAATGACAGAAAGAGAGGACTTACAAGTTACTAAAAAACGTGTTGACTCTCCCATCGATAGATATACATCTGTTACACCAGCTATCCCACCTCTGGTAATAATGCTTATGAAACAAATGACAAACATTTAGAACTGATTTTTTTAAAAATGATTAAAATAATAATGGATCGTAATCATAGTAAATGTGTATCACTGTTTCTAACAAAAGCAATAAGTGTCTGCATGTGCATAATAATGGATTTAGCAGGAGGAGAAAGTAGTTTCAACACAACCGAGAACACTTATTGATACTAAAAAGAGGAAATATAGAGTAGCGGTAGCAGCAGCAGCGATGACTGACTGACTGGGCTTAAGTAGTCAGCACCACCCCAAATAGAAGTGCAAGTTATTTTGCTTAGGATGAAAATATCCATCCACGTTGTGTTCGTACGCAGCAAAACTTAATAGTTTATTTTTATTAGTGTTGAATGACTGAAGAAAGATTTGATAGACAGTTTTATATTTAAAATGTCAATAATTTATTATTTATAAGAAGAAAAAAAAAGGAACTTTTTTAGGAGGAAAAGAAGAGAAATGACAAAGTGAACTGGACTGCGACTTTGTAACATCCCTCCCACCATGCGGTAATAATAGTACTGTCCCAGGTAGCAGCAAAAAATGGTTATAGAAACTGTGTGTGTGTGTGTGTGTGTGTGTGTGTGTGTGTGTAGAGAGAGGCAGAGAGAGAGACAGAGACAGTAGCAGAGTAAACAAAATTGATAAATTTTTTCTAGTAAATCTCTGGAAAGAAAATGTTTTTAAAAGAAAATTAGTTAAAACTTGTTTCACAAAATCACCTATAAAGAAATTATGCTTTTTTTCTTATTTTTAATGTCGATAAGTAGCGTTTCTACAAGGGAAGGACGTGCCACGTGTTAGTTACAACAAAATGAATTTTTACAAGTAAACATGCTGACTACTCCAACAGATCAATATTTGAAAATATTTCTTCTTTATTTCAACTGACAAAATAAGTGTTTCTATTCTGTGATAACGAAAAACATTATTTTCTGTTTTTAAACAATCAGTTCCCACCGATTGAAATGACTTCTTTAACCGATTTTATATACCAAAACAAAACCAGAGCGATGGAACCACCACATTCTAAAATTCACTGAGTACAATAGTGACCGATATCTAATGATTTATCAGCTATAGAGAGGTTCGAAATGTTTATTATTGCTGATGCTTCCTTGTACGATTTTTAAATAAATGCTATTCCAATGAAATGGGAACATATGAAAATTTCTGTTGTGAGGACCGCCTTGTTCCAAGAACGACTGTTTTTAACAAGTAAAAGAACTTAGCCAGAATTAATTGTACAGTGTACACTACAGTAAAAAAGTGTAGTTTCATTTAAAATTTTAAAAATTGTATGTTTATATACCACAAATAAATTAATGTTTGTAGGCAAAACATAACACTACTTTTTGAAGCGTGAAACTGACTATCACCATGCAATGTTGATTTCAATGCCTATTCTAATCATGTATGACAAAGCTTAATGATTTTTTTCAATAAGACAACCTTTTTTTTTTGTCTAGGCTGCTCTTTCTAAACTAAAACCACACTTGCAACGTTGCACATCTACTTGATCAGCTTAAATCCTAATTCAAAGTAGGATTATTTCAGCTAAGAAAAAAATAGAGATTAATTTAAGACGGATTACCCTATGATGAGAGTTAAAAAATACGCAGTGGATTTTAGACAGTCAACGTTGATCAGTTGCTAAAAATGATGGGTTTGGAAAAAAAAAAAAAAAAAAAAAAAAAGAAAAAAAAAAAAAAAAAAAAAGAAAAAATGAACGCCTTTTTTGGACATTCAAACAAAATTCTATTTGAAAGCAAAACAGTTAGAAACAAGAAGAAAAGAATTTAAAAATCAGTGGTCCGTTCAAGAATTTAAACAAGTTTAAAATTGAGTCGCTAAAAGTGAGTATACACGTGTACAATTTAAGCTAAGTAAGTAGAATTTCATAGCTACCATAAGTTACTACTTAAAACAACAACAACAACAAAAAAAAAAAAAAAAAAAACACATA